TAATAACACACAAAAAAATGACTCCGTAGAAGTTGAACTGTTGTCTAAGTTCATATCCTCGGCCTTTCACTGTCGAATATGAGTGATATTCAAATTGGCGCAAAAGTAACGTCCGTTCTCTTTTGAAAGTAACCGTAACGGTATATTGTTACGTTCTTAGGATGGTAACGAATCTCAGAACTCGTTTAGTTTTGACGATCTAAAGAGTGACGGTATTTTGCTACGTGTTTTCTATAACAGGCACAACAGTGCTTGGGTCCCACAGGTGCCAGAAAGCCCAATACCCAATATCTTTGCACGGCCCCTTGAAGCTGACAGTGCGGCGGGAACTGCTGTACATACTTGCTTGACCAGACAACCGCCTCCCTTTCATTGCTGATTATGCCTTCTGCGTGGATATAGCTGGGAGCGCGGGCATGCTTCGAAAGATCAACGTAAAACTGGTCCAACGGGCTCGTAGTTTCCACCACCCTGCCACTCTAGGCCCTTTGCACCTGCCATTAAGAAAAACTTTTAGCCTTCAATAAAATTAGGTGAGTGATATATTTAATAAATGAATTGCTAATTATTGATATTAAAGGCATGGTTTCAAATAGAATCTTGCTGAGCATCATCAAAAACTATGATAAAACACCCATGCTACAGGTATGAGGCACGCGCAGCATTTTACGGCGTTCTGAAGAAATACTCAATTTTGACGCCTGTCTTGTTTTCAGCTTCTTATCGGAGTGCATCTCTACGCGGGCAATCGGAAGGCGAGATTGACCACACGGAGATGCTCTCCGATAAGAAACCGAGAGCCAGATACGTGTCCAAATAAGGCATTTTTTCAGAACGCCGTAAAATGCTGCACATGCGCCTCATGCCATTATAACATGGGTGCATTTAGTCGTTCTCAATGATGCCGAACAATATTATCTTTGAAACCATCCTTTAAGAATAATATTTAACAATTTAAGTACTCGGAATTTATAAAATATCCCATTATATTGAGCTCTAGCAACTTTCCTTGGACACACACCACTATGGCAACAGGCTTCTTTTTTGTGCGATGCGTCGTTTTTGCAGTAGCGATTTTGCCCGTTTTCGGACACACCCTGTATATGTCAAAACAAATGTTTTATACGCTTGGGAACAGGACTCCACCTCCATCAATTTTGCTGCATATGGCAATAGTGACAACCACTGTACAGTCACTGCAGATTAAGACATATTTAGATGGATTATGCCTATACAGTTTTTAGATAGATGAATACAAAATCAGGTCAATTATACCTTTAGTACAACAAATGTATATGATTCGTTTACTACAAGAGGAATTTCGAATGTTTAAAAGCTTGACGAATTCAAGTGAAACCATACTTTGTTTCAGCTTAGGTCTGAGCGCGGCCGATGTTATGAGCCGAAGGGCCAATCAAACAGCGAAAGAGACACAAAGCTATAATGAGTTCTCTGTCGCCATCTCTCTGTGCGTGCTCCTCCACCGGCTAGTCCTATCAAGCGCAGAGGGCACGCCATGGCGTTGCGCTTTTTGCGCTGTTTTATTGGTCCTCCGGCTCATAACATTGTCTGCGCTCGTACCTAAGATGAAACGAAATGTTTATGAACACCAAATGAATAGCACTTAAAGTATGAATATCCTCAATGATCAGAACCGTCTTCGTGAATGTGCAAAAAAGAATAAAATCATGCAAAAGGAAGACATACATACGAGTATTACATGTAGCAAGCACATTGAATGATGTCATCAGAATTCAGATACTCAAATCGGTCAAAAAGAAAAAGGACGAAGAATATAACGAAATGAGGTAGGAAATTACACTGCATTTCTAAATCTTCGAGTCATGTATATTCTGTTGCAGTCCTATGAGCAAAGCATTAGTTTCCAGCTCAGTGTGTTAAATAGTTTCGAATACCTTCTAACATTTGCAATATTCAAGGTTGTTGCTATTGAAAGACCTTAGTTATTTTAGAAGTTTGTATATTTATGGTCATGAGTAGGCCGACTTGTAAGGAACGTAAGTGACCCTACAGACAACCGAGAGACTCCAGGAGCAGCACGTGATTAATGACTCTAAATGAATAAAAAAAGACTTGGCTTCAAGTATTTTCTTTTTCTATCGTGCACAAAAAAAAAACTATGTTCGCTTCGTTTAAGGTAAATTCACTTTTTTTTATCTGTGTTAACACGATAAATAAGAGGCTGAGAGATTTTGAAGCATGCGAAACACACACTGCTCGCAAGTAGAACCCTTGCAGGCCTATCGCCAAGCCAAATGAACACACGTCGGTGCTCGAGTATTTCGTTTGAACCCTATCCACAACTATGATGCATGTAAGGGTTTCGATCACTTGCAATGTATTTTCCGATGATTAAGTAAATCGCTATAAGCCGCAAACGCTCTACCGCACGTCTTGCACTTGAACGGCTTCTCTCCTGTGTGAGTCCTCTCATGATTCACCAAACTGCCTTTGTTAGTAAACGCCCTGCTGCACGTGTTGCACCTGTATGGCTTCTCTCCGGTGTGAATTCTTTCGTGATTCGCCAAGCTCCATTTATGACTAAACGCCCTGCTGCACGTGTTGCACTTGAACGGCTTCTCTCCGGTATGAATTTTAACGTGAGATATCAAGTGAGGCTTCTGCGTGAATGTTTTCTCGCAGGCATCGCAACTGAAGGGCCTCTCGCCAGTGTGAGTCCTCTCGTGGATGGCGACAGCCGCTGCGGAAAGGCATGAGTAAGGACAGAAGCGGCACGGGTGCTTCTTCGGTCGTCGGTGCGTCTGCTGCTTGTGTGGGCCAGAATTGTTGGTCTGGGGAGAGGTGCCACCTCTGCGGCTGTCACGAACAAAGGTATCCACTTTGTCGCCATAGCATGCTCCGAAGCAGTCTGTTGGGATGACACGACAAAGCAAGAAAGGTTGGCGCAGCTATTACATTATGCAGTTGCGGCCTAAAGTAGTTATTCATTCATTTCAGATGTTAAAAATGTTCATTCACAATGCCTGTAAAGGCCTACAGGTGACCATTAAAGACTTGACTCTGGGAGTCCTATCGTGCCGTAGCTGTGGTGGCTTGCGCGTTCTCCAAACCAAGTACGAAATGGAATTCAAGCCGTCGCGGCCGCTGCTGCCCAGTGTTAGCGGTAACGTGTTACAAGTAGTGTCGTTAACAGTATCGCCTTACCTTTTTAGTAACGTGATAATGTAGTCGGTACTATTCCAAGACAGTAATGGTATGGTGCCTGGAGCGCGTCTTGGACTGGTTTGATTAGCGTCCTATCCCGCCCATACATCAAAAATGGTCCCGAAGTGGCAACAAATGACGTCACCGAAGCCAAAGTGTCATGCTCTTGCATCTCACGATCCTGGCGGCTGTCGTAGAAATGCTAACGAGAAGGCTGCGAGTAGCACAACCGAACACGAGTGTCGCTGTCGTCATGGCGTCCCAACTTCTGGCTGCCGAAACTTTCGTGGACCGCCACACTTGAGAGCGGCTTTGAGCAGATCAAGCGTCTGCTACAAACACCACCGCTGTTGGGACGCCGCCAGGATCGCGACCAGCGACAGCATGACACTTGTATGACGTCACCAGGCAGAAATCAAGGGACCACTTTTTTGAGTGCGCTAAACAAACCAGTCGGAGACGCGTTCCAGGCACCATAATAACGGGTAACGTATTTAAGTAATTTGTTACATCTTCTGAAAACTTGAAAAAAAGTACACCTATATTTTTTTGCCAGTTTCTATACTACACTTTACCTGCAGTCCAGATGCAGCTGATGCTACAAGCTGAGGGGAATTATCAGAAAGAGGGAAAAGGGAACCATCATGGTATTCTCTGTTTTTGTACGTGTTCTGTCATCACTGAAATAAACACACAAGGCCAAGTGACTTGTGATTTTGACGCTGATTGATTTGTCCGATTAGGTTGTAGCGTAGGCTGCGTCTAAATTTTGACTGTTTTCCCCATGCAAACATTTCCACTTTATAAAAACCCTAAAGCCAGCGCCTGTCATCCCAGTGTCGAATCACGCTGTCGCCAAAATATAGCAAAAGCGCTCTTACTGTCTTCTTATAAAAAACAAATGTTGTGCATTACTTTCTGTCGATTACGATATCGCATTCCTTTATTTTGCAAGTAACGAGTAACATATTTCTTTACTTTTTTTTTTGGTAATGCCTACAACGCTGCAGCTGCATACCGCTGCCAGTACGGAGCGCTGGGTGATAGCGCGTTGACATTCATAATGATCGTGACTGTGTACTAAGTAACAGTGGAAGGGTCGTTTACACGCACACAGATTATAAGGTTACACAAAATAGCATTCAATAGGCTCGTTTATTAATCGTTGTGTACCTTAGAAACTTGAAAAATCACTAAAGTACACAGCGAATATTTTACGAGCGATTTGAAAGAGGAAAACGCGGTTCTATATCGACATTGATATGGACATTTGCCAGTCTAAAGCGACTTCGGCGACACAAATTAACGTTAAAATCTTTAATCATTTGAAGCAGCGAAACCTTTTCGGGCTACCTCATGCGTCGAAAATAATTTATAGCATTTGTGAGAGCTACTCAATCAACCGGAACTAAAGAAAAAGACAATTTCGTAATAAATAACCAACTCAGCACGATACATTTCTCCGATATTAAATAATATGTATCAATTGCAACTTCGAGTGCCCAGACTGAATGTTCCTTCAGTTGAGCACAGCTTGTTTGTTTACTTTCACTTGAGTTGTAGTTCTTGGACTTTGGAATGTAACACCCCCCCTTACCTAAAAGAACAAAAACAAAAAAAAACATTAAATTTTGTTGCAATATTTTTTTCGGTTTGGTGCAGGCCATTAATTAAAACTTAATGAAGTTTCCACGTGGGGAAAACATTGTGTACCACATCAGACTCCTCACGTTTTCCATTTTCTGGAAAACCGAGCCTACAAAAAGGTGCTAAGGAGGCTGGATGAGTATTGTCCCGTGTGCGTCTTCTCATACCTGGTGTTGTTAGTTCTGTGGGCACCATAAGATTGGGCGGAGAAGTCGCACCGCCGTCTGTCCTCCCCTCCTGGTCCATCTTCAATGGTTGCCTCTGCAATTCGGCTCCTTGGAAGGAGAGCTCCGCCCCCTTGTCCTCGCAGTCCGTTCTCTGCCATTCGGAGTCGAATGCTGCGTGGGCAAGTTCTGTTAGGACTGAAGATCAAATTTTTTTTAGTATCATTTTTTTTATACTACACCATTACAGAAGCCCAATCAGAACAAACTTAAAGAACAAGCAAACATAGACACATCATGCATATGAAGTAGAGCAATTCAGGGGTTTACATTCGTATTCCAGTGTAATTCAAAGGGTAAAATCATATCACGAAAAAACACAGGCATCAAATTGAATACTGAAAATCCCGAAAAAATTGATTGTAAAAATTGCACGTGAATCATACATTAAGGCAATCCTTCTCTATTAAATACATACTTCAAAAGTTTCACTTCACCTTGAACATACGGTAAAGGATTACATCAATACGGTCCCACACAAATCGACAAAGACGCAACTAAATACGATCAAGGAGCGGGATTTAGTTACGTCACTCCCGCTCTGTAGTGCTGAAAGAAAGGCAGGCATGCCACAGAACCAACAACTGTACGGCATATCACCGCCATAGGTTTTGGGAATTATACGTCAACAAAACGGGCATGGTGTGTTGGCAAATGAAGGTACAGAAGGGAATAAAAATGTCGCATGTAGTTGGCTGAGCTGTGGCCATTGCTTATTTGATCCGACTTGTTGGTCCCATTCATCTGGGAAAAAATGTAGCCCAAAGGTCTCGCACTGCAGAAGTTGACCTAGCTGGTGGCTGCCCCTCCTTTTTAGGCAGCGAAGGGTTGCTCACATTTAAGAGCAGTTCCGGTTAGCTCGGCCTGCAAAGTTGAGAAGAATGAGTATTAATAAACAGTCTCCAAGACAAAGGTACTTTACATGCCCTCAATTATCGTCACATTGGATGAGCAAATCTAAAACTGAAGGGTACCAGCGCTTGGAATTGGTCTAGTTGGCTCTTCATTGCTTGATTAGACTGCGGAGTAAATGATAACGAATTACGACGCAGAGACAAGAAAAAAGAAAACAACAAATGGGAAAACGCGCATTTGCAGTTCAGTTTAAACAAGTAAAAAACTGAAAGCCACTTTCGAGATTAAACAGGGCGTGGATAACAACACCATTTGTCAGGGGGGGTACCAGCGAGAAATTTCAATCTGAAGGACGCGGGAAAAGTAAGTCCTATGTGACCATACAATTTCCAAGAGTGAATGTTTTGGCCAAATAACACTGACCATTACTATTTCCACGAGATGTTTCATTATATACGTATGCAGCGTCAAACCGCTAGCGAGGAGGAAAATGTTTGCCGGTTCCATCTGTGCCGCATCCGCGTGACTAATGCCATCATTTATAAAATGATATGCAGTGTAGATCAATCAATCAGGCTCGCATTTTGCCAAGAACTAACATAAACGGGGCCCACTTAGGGAGAACGAGTTTTAGCTGAGATACTTGGTTCACGTTCACGAGTTCCCCATAGCTTGGTAAAAAGCCTTTGAGATCATCCAGAAATTGATTATAAAACGTTATAATTTGGTTAAGTGATCTCCAGTATAAATTGATCACCATTCATCACCAGTATAAAGTTTAGTCCCTATGGCAACGCCAATGTTTTTTTTTTTTTTATTTTTATTTCTTCAAACTCAAGACAAGCTTGAGTGGCTTTCTCCTCTTGATCGTCTTCATTAAAAAGAAGCTGAAACACTTCTTCCAAGAAATGAGATAGAGGTTGATTCCAGCGTAGTTTTATCCCATAAATCGAAATATTTCGTTTGTTTTCCCCGACGATGTAACTAAACGCCAGAACACACGAAAAAACCCCGACCAGTCGTTACGTCATAAAAGGATCATTCGGCCGCCAAGCGCGAGTCGCTCGTGAGCAATAAACCTTATTTAGATTCGGCCGCCATCTGTCGGACGTGGCGCCAAGCTTCCTTCCGACGCCATCTTTGAGGCGAATGGCAGAGCGCTGTGGCCGTTTGTAGCGCGTGAGTGGCGCGCAGCAACCGCATGACTGCTCTGTTCCGCTACGTATTCAACGAGAAAATAAAATTAAAAACAACCGATGCAAACATTCGGATTGTATTGTTTTTCTTTTTAAAGGTATCATAGCCAACGTTTGAATAGATGTAGCACTTTCCTGTGCTATTCATGCTCCCTAAAAGAGCACCTGCGGCGTTAGTGTTGTTTTAAAAGGGCTCCTAAACATTTCATTAATGTATGACACTTTCCACGATGGCATGAAAGGCTCATGATAATTGTATGTAACATCTGCAAGCATCTATTATTTTATCTGATTTTTTGGTAACTTGATGTTGGGTAGCATCGTAGCTTCGCTCGTGCAGAGCAACGGGAAGGTCCGGTCAACACCGCTCATATACACTGTTTTGCGTTTGTTTTTCCCGCTCAAGTAGGTCTTTTACAACCGATTAAGGCTGATGCAAAGTGCAGAAGAGCCAGGCGACGTGACAACTTCGTTTCGCACATGAATGTTAAAGGCAACGGTGCTAAAAAGCAAAGGTGAACGCTCGCTTACTTTACGCTGTATCATTATCACGCTACTCTCACATTTCGAAAAACATTTTGGAGATGTAGTCGAAAGCATAAAAGTGGGCTCTTGACTGCTAACCTGGACCTGTTGGCGAGTTTGACTGTCCCGCTCGCTCGCTTCCCAACTGAATGGGTTCGCGCTGCGGGAGAAGCTTTTATTTTTAACCAATACTGCAGGCAACCACTTTTATGAGCACTGGTCATATTGCATTGCGAGTAAGCATGAAATTCAAAAGCTTTCTGAGCTATGTGACCGCACTACCAGGATGAGCACATTAAAATGTCGCCGACGTTTATTCCTGCATTTTCTCTAAAGGGGCCAAACAGTATATATGCGCAAGTACTGAATTTATTTGTTAGTATTATTATCATGATTATGAAAGTAAAATGTTTTACTTCCCATGAAATGATTTTTTTTAATACGTCATATTTCGCGTATTTGCACCATGGCGACACTCAGGTCATTTCCTTTTAAGCTTTTGTGCCTCGCATACGCTTGTGTGAGTATGCTAGTGTAGATCTTCAGCGTAGTATTTATTTTTTACCTGCAATAAAAATACTACTATCGTAAATTCGGGCTGTATCACACGCACTCCTCATAATTTTGTTTCGAGCTACCATTTGGTGATCTCCCCAAGGAACGGAATACAAATTTATTTAAAAATTTAATTTCATGTTGTTTTTTTTTCGTGTGTGTGTGGATTTATATTTATTTATTTATTTATTTTACCCTCAGGGCACATGGCATTACAGAGGGGAGTGGGAACAATAGTAAACATAATAAACAATTGGAACAAAATATACAATACTTAAGGAACAGGGAACATGAAATTGGCAATAGATGTACAAAAAAGTGTGTGATCATTAATTGATGTGAGCGATGCAGGTAAGCTATTCCAGTCTTTGGAAGTCCTGGGAATAAAAGAGTCATAATAAACGTTAGAGTGGCAAAATGGGACACCGACTTTGTGACGATGATCAAGGCGTGCTGAAACAAAGTAGGGGGGGATGATTAGTTGGGATTTAAGCTGAGGAATATGGTGATAGATTTTATGAAAAAGACAAATACGAAAGACTGTGCGACGACGTGCGAGGCTTGGGAGTAACAAATTATCTTTCATTGATGTAACGCTTGCGGTGCGGTTATAGTTCGCCATTATGAAACGTGCAGCTCTGTTTTGAATACCTTCAAGTGAATCAACGAGGTAAAGAGTAGAGGGATCCCAGATGGAAGCTGCATACTCTAGCTTGGACCTAACTAGTGTTTTATAAAGAAATAGTTTTAATGATGACGGGGAGAGATAAAAGTTACGTTTGAGGAAACCAAGCATTCGATTGGCGTTGTTAGTCACATAGTTGATATGAAGTTTCCAGGAAAGGTCAGCACTTAAAATCACACCCAGATACTTGTATGAGTTTACAAGTTCTAGGGGTGTGTTATTAATACTATAAGCAAAATTGAAGTTGGCTTTACGTGTTATGCGCATTATTTTACATTTATTAATATTGAGCTCCATTGACCAGAGTTCACACCAGTGTAGTATGGAATCTAGGTCATATTGCAGTTTTTGTGAGTCAGAGTCATTAGATATTACTTGATAAATAGCACAATCGTCAGCAAAAAGTTTAATTGAAGAAGAGACCACCGCATGCAAGTCATTAATATATATTAAAAAGAGTAGAGGTCCCAGAACGGACCCCTGAGGTACTCCGGAAGAAACTGGTGCAGAAGAGGAGTTAGTACCATTACACGTTACAAATTGTGACCGATTCGTTAGAAACGAAACTAGCCAGTTAAACACGTTAGAGTCGATGTTAAGTTTACTTAACTTGAGCAGTAAAAGTCGGTGCGATACCTTGTCAAATGCTTTGGCAAAGTCTAGAAATATGCAGTCCACCTGAGATCCCTGATCAAGCGCCGAATGAAAGCCGCTGGTGATAGACAAAAGTTGCGTTTCACAAGATAAATATTTTCTAAAGCCATGTTGAGCTGGTGAAAAAAATGAATTAGATTCTAGAAAGTTAACGAGCTGCGTATAGATTATATGTTCAAAACTTTTACAGGGAACGCTGGTTAGTGAGATGGGTCTATAATTGATAGGAACGTGCTTATTACCTGATTTGTGCAAGGGAATAACTTTACCAATTTTCCAGTCGGCTGGTACCAATCAGGTCTCAAGTGATTGCTCAAAAATATGTGCAAGGATTACGGAAGAGTACTGATTTGTAGCTTTAAGAAATTTTGAGTTAATCTCATCTATTCCAGTCGCTGAGGATAGCTTAAGACAATTGATGATCTTCAGTACACCATCTGGAGAAATGATGATAGGATCCATTAATGGGAAGGAATCAACATGATAGCTTGGGTTAGCACAGATGGGGGTGCATAAAGATTCCTCAATCAGAGTTTCGTCTAGTGTTTTAAGTGAAATACATGAGGGTCTATCACGGTGGGACAATACATTCCAGAATTGACGCGGATTATTTTTTAACATAGATGGTAGCAAATTCTGGAGGAAATTAGCCTTAGCACTCTGAACTGCACTCTTATAACACTGAGAAGCACTGAAGTAATTCTGCCAACGAACTGGGCAGGACGTGAGCCTGGCAGCTCTAAATAAACGTTTCTTTTTGTTCGATAACCTCAGAAGCGCCCTGTTGAACCATGGTGAAGTAGAATTTACAATTATGGTTTTCAAAGGTATATACTTTTTAGTGAGCGAAATCACCGCTTCCTTGAAAAGCGTCCAGTTAGTTTCAACAGAGCGCTCCGAGACGTTCTCAAAGAAAGCATCTAAAAAGCTAGAAAATTCAATATTAATGGCATCAAAATTGGCTTTGCTATAATCTCTGATAATATTCTTTTTATTTATGACACAAGTTGAACGAATGCACAAGGTAAAATGTAATAACAGGTGGTCACTGAGGCCAGGAAGGTAAGTAATTGGACCAAATAGGTTGGGCGTAGTAGTAAAAATCAGATCTAAAATGCTTGACTTTGTAGCCGTTACTCTCGTTGGGCTGTGAACTAGTTGAATGAAATGGAAATCAGAAAGTACACTTAAGAACTTTGCACAGTCTGTTGAAAATGGGTCACAGCAGGGGTCACTCGGTCCCCAAACAATGTTAGGATAATTAAAATCACCCATTAAAAGCAGGGGCGTATTTGGAAAACGCGTTGAAATTACATTCAACGCATCATGTAGCTTATCTGTAAAATCAGTAACATAAGAAGGTGGGCGATAACAGCATCCTAATACAAACTTTTGATGTTGAATGATCATACACACCCAAATTATCTCTAGAGAACTGTTAATATTTACAACAAAGGACGGAATACTTTTAATAACTCCAATTAGAACACCTCCACCCGTTCGCAACTCCCTGTCCTGCCGATAAGTAGTGAACTGTTTCAGTCCGAGAAACAACTCTGCGTCTCTAACTTTGGCCGAGAGCCATGTTTCGGTTAATACAATAATGCTAGCATCGCAAGTGTCTATGACAGAGCTTATATCCTCGCGTTTATTCATTAAGCTTCGTATATTCGTAAAAAGGATAGACAAGTTCGACGAAGAATCAAGACGGCCACCACCCCTCTGCAACCGCTAAACAGGAACAAGTGCACCCTCTGGGGCCGAATCGGCTGCATCACGGCGTCTAACACTGCTTGAGCTATGCGGTCGAAGTAATTCGGTGACGTGCCCTGCGTCATGGTCATATACATAGCATTTTTCATTTAGAAATAATTTGTTATAATTAAGTTTAAAAGTAGTACCGCTTGATTTTCCAAACTCAATAAGCTTCCTTCGCGCCAAACGAGTTGCAAAAGAAAAATCCTCGCTAACACTGACGTCCATTGACTTCAGTTTCGCCTTTAAAACCATGACTTGCTCTTTTGCCTTGAAAGAAGAAAATTTAACGATGACTGGCCTACATTTACTGATAGTGTACTGGCCAAGCCTATGAGCCCTCTCAATGTCGAAAGACAGGTCAGTTTCGCCATCGAAACAGTCAAACAAAGCCCTTTTTATTTTTTGTTCAACTTGAGCCCACGTTTCCGCAGCACTATCAGCGATACCATAAAAAAGGGCGTTGTTTCGCCTAGACCTATCTTCAAGTTCATCCAAACGATGACGTAAAGCAGTATTCGTTTTCCTCTGCTCTCCCATTTCCTTTCGTAGGCCTTGTATCTCTTGTTCAAAAGCAGTTGTCTTTTTTTCGACGGATACAAGCCTTGTACTGATTTTTGTAACCTTTTCTTCAATAGATTTTTGACTTTGCTTTATTTCGTCCACGGAACTGATTAGCGCTGTTTGGCCAGCCTCAAACCCCTGTGACCGGGAATTTAGCTCATTTAATAACTGGAACATTTGTGAAAATTGCTGAGCTTGCTCCGCATTCATGAAACCCGGATTTGTTTCAATATCTCCACAACAGAGCAGTGATCTTTTTTTAAATTGTTTTTTAAATTACAAAACCGCTTCAGCTTCCCTTTGAAGATGTCTCATCTTCAAGACTGCCATCACTTTACACATTTCAAATCCTTCGTTAGTTCATTCGTAGTTTTGTTTATGCATTTTTAACAACTTCTAGCCACCTCCTCTCTAAAGTCTTCTTGGACCCCGAGGGCAAGGTTCAAGCTGAAACATGGCTCTTATCAGGCACGTTGCCAGGATTTTGGTTCGGGGGAGGGGAAAGGAAGGGGGGGAGGGGGGGGGGGCCGCCTATGACAAAATGCTGTATGAGGGGGAGGGGGAAAAGAAGGTCTCAGCAAAATGAAACATTTCTTTTTGGGGGGGGGGGGGGACCAGGCCGCCCCCCCCCCCCCCCCCCGCACTACGTGCCTGGCTCTTCATATTGATTTTGTTCAGACCTGTTTCGCCAGCTTTTCAAAAACAACTTTAGGGGTCAGTGTTTGGTACCTGGTGAGAGCGATAGCATTCTCGGTTACTGATTGGACATGACATCCCAGCGTTTTGCTCTGTTAAAGTATTTGTCCCGAGTACTGCATACATAGGAGAATTTCAGCTATTATACAGGAGTAGATAGCATCAAACCGGAAGTAAAGCACATCATTATAGTTTCAGCTTGCGTCGCGCATCACTTTGTCGCGGCACTCAGCTTTTAGCAGACGGCTGCCTATATTCTGGTCCGTTAACGGAAGACATGAAAGTATTTTCTTTTTTCATTTTGTCTGCGAATGACGCTTCGTAGCAGACGAATTCCGTTGTTCACTTACGTTAGCAGACTAATCATCTGCTGACGTTTTCTTGACTCGCTCCATGAAGTTCCAGTCACACTGCTCGTACACCAAGCAGAAGACAACCTTCAAACACCGTCTGAGGCACGTTTCTTTCTCGTGTCTTCTCATACTGGGCCTAACAAAACCGTCTGCGGACGTGTTCAAAGCACACATATGTGTTCGCTAGGAACATGTCTGCAGAGAGTTTTGCTAGGCCCAAGATGAAAGTACTGTCATGAAGGAACCAATTTCGGCAGTTCACACACTTGTGACTGCTTGCGACCGGAGGGGCTTGTGAACCATGTTGTGACTGCTGACGACTGGCCGCTGCGCCGCCGGTTATAAGTAGTCACCCGTGTTTTATGCATCTGCGGCTGTAAGCATGGCAGTAAGAAATTAGTACAGTTGCCTTGAGCAAACAATAAAGCAAACACTCAGATAGTACACATTGTTTCACCGTTTTAGAAATAAGACACCACCTTCAGAGATTCTACATAATAAACCAAAAGTAAGACACACTATTTAATTTGTCCACATTAAGGCATACTTTGAGGGATTATACAGTTTCAATCAATAAATGTAGAAAGAGGGCAACGAGATTGAAAGAACACCAAAGGGACGTTGCCAAGGCCACCCATGCCACGCGGTCCAAGACGGAACTTGTCGAACACTGCTGGACGACAGGACACAGTTTCGACCTGGACAAGCGACGACGCTGGCCCGAGAACAAAGGCGGGGGCAAAGAAAATTCGTCGAGTCCTGGTTCATTCGCCGTGACTCATCGGTGTGCAACACCAACCGTGGCCCCCTGCCGGACGTTTACGGGGACGTGTGTGATAAGTAGACTGGTCGACCTCACCTCATTTGTGTCAGTGTATACTGAAGATGCCACCTGCATAGGTGGCGAAACGTCTGTACCTTTTGTTATTAATTTGTTATGTTAAGTCGGAGTAAACCTTTTCAATCATGAATTCACCCGGCTTTTGGAACATTTTTGGCTTTGAAAGGGGTGGGAGGGGCAGGGGGGGGGGGGTGGGGGGTGAGGGCAGTAAATAGGCAAAGTGAGGTAAAACAGAAAATAGAAAGTTTGCGTGCAGCAGGCTCAACTGTAGCCATCTCATTTGATCTGGCTCTGTCGCATTCGTGTAAAGACATAATATAGCACAAAGGCGTTGCACCACCGAAGGGGGATTCGGCCTGTGACAGGCCACCTTTCCAAAGCTGTGAAGTGTCGTTCCCATCTGCGTCCCCAGTCCTGACGAGTTTGATCTGCAAGGTTTAGAAAGAATACGGTTAATAAACAGGAAGGAACGGGAAGCGACAATACTTGTTTGTATTTTTAACTATGTATATTCGGCAAGCTGAAACTGGGTGCGAAATTTTAAAAAAAGACAGGCATCGCAAATGAGCAATGAGAGTACAGTTAAGATTTACATTTGAATGAGATGAGTATGCACTGATCACCCCAACCAGTTAATATTCAGAGCCGACCTAGCGAATCAGTAGATCAGATTTATCGTCCACTGCAACCCTTGCTATATTATGCTGTGATTGAAATTCTGTTCTCGTGAATTAGACACGCCATATTCGGAAAACACAATGAGTATTAAAACTTGGTTTGGGGCTGAGGCGTATGAAGATGCGACCCATTATGTCTCAGATTAATGAGGGTGAATGCAGTACAGCTGTGTTTGCATCTTCGGGTGTCAGTCGTCTCAGCTCTTTCTTCTTCTTAAAAGTTGTTTAGATTTCGATGTCTGCTGTGTGAATCTTCTTTCCTTCGTCATTCTGTACTGCCTTGGTCGACTGTTAGACACATCACGTATGAGATTAATAAATTGTGTTTTTTAGCTGAGGAACAACCTTAGGTATCTACTTCTGCCGGTTGATAACTCCAGTCCTGAAAAACAAGACAACAAGGCTGAAGAGGCAGCGGTGGCTCCGGGGTAGAGTCCCTGAATGTTGCTGGGCGGCTCTCACAGAGTGGTGGGTGGCAACACTTGCGTCTGCTAACGGAGATGCCACCTTATATTCAATCTTTTATAAGGTCATCACGCTGTTATTGTCATTGAGCATTACCACTCGTGAAAAGGAACCGCGGGTAACCCAAAGAACACGCAGCGTAACTTTCGAATTTTAGTGGTAGGTTTGTTTGTAACAAACATTCCTCCACAAAAATGGATAAGATGCTGGAAGGTCAGCCGATATTTGCGAATAGGCGGAAACATGTTGTGTGGGCAGGAAGGGGGGGGGGGGGGGGGGGGAAGTGGTTTAGATGGCCCGAAACCCCCTAAAATGTTTACGAGCCAAGCGCCCCCACTGCTACAATTCTGCTACAAGGCGCGGGGAGCGGACAGACACGTCGCAACTGAGACCCAGTAAATGCGGAACTACCGCCAAAGACTGGCTTTTTTGTGTTTGTGTGCCTCGAAGCTCAAGGAGACTTGACGTATTTAAAGGAAAGGTTTCTCCCAGCTAGGGATGTCGCGAACCACCCGAGGTTCGATTTAGAAAGGTTTCGATATTTGCGAAGCGAACTAAGGTTTGATTTTGAAAAATTTCGATATTTTCGTACCGACCGAGGTTTGAATTTAAAAAATTCACAACTTTCGAACACAGTGGAGTTTCAAATTCGAAAATTTCGGGTTCGAATATTTCAAATATTTTGTGACTTGAGGTTCGATAAATTCAAATATTTCAAACTTTCCTAACTTGAAATTCGAGATATTTGAAAAATTTTAATTTCTTGGGATCTGAAGTTCGAAAAATTCGAAGATTTCGAAATTCCTTGGAAATAAAATTCGAAAACTTTGAAAGCTTTGAATTTTTATAAACATGAAGTTCGAACAATTCTAAGATTTCAATTTCTTTCTGCATAAAGTTTGAAGGTTTCAATTCTTTTTTAACGCTAAATTCGGAAAAAAAAAACTTCGAAGATTTTGAATTTTATTCAAGTCTAAGTTTTCAAAGTTCGAAGTCCGGTTTTCAAGTTCCTCCACAGTTTCAATTTCAAATAACGTTGCCACGACTCACTGGTTTTCATGAAATCAAGTTTACAAAAGTTAGGGTGCGATATCTAGACTCTGCGAAGTTGGTCAGGCAATTAAAGGAGACGACGAGTGTCCCCAAAATTTGCCAGTGCAGGGTGACGTGTGGCCATAGATCAGTAACTGTGACTGCCGACCCGGGGGGGTTGGGGGGGGGGGGGGGGGGCGTCTTTAACCTGCATCACGCAGTAGTGATCACACAAACACACTGTATTACGATACTCATCCAGTTCGAAACGGCCACGGGCGGGCAGGAGGTTGAGGCTCAGAAAAGCCTTGAAGTGACCTGGCAAACTACCTCCCCATCCCTTGAACGCTGGTAGTAATCCGATCGAACGCCGCCCGAGTGACGCTGGCATATAGTAAGTTAAGTTTGTAATTGTCCTGGAGGTTTGTTTTCTGGGACGGAGGAATCGCCTCGCAAAAAGCACAGAACCCTACACAACTCGAGGTCGAGGAGCGTTCGACCATACAAGTGGCGTCGGAGAGGAAAAACGGGCCGGGGGGGAGGGGAAGGGGGAGGGGGGGGGGAAGGGGAGGGGGAGTTTCAGCCCCCCTTTCCCCCCTTTGTAAGGAAAACAATACGGGGAAAGAGGGCGTGGTCGAACCATATTTTAATCTGAAATTATTTATGCATATAAATAGCTATTGTTGCTCTTCACTGCATAAAAGAATGCGTGGATGGTCATTGTTAGAAACTGATTGTCAGAAGGCACTACTCGTCACATGCTTAGTGGTTCGGAAGTTCAAAGCTATGTTTTTTCGACCTAAATAACTGTGCCAATAGTAAAAAAAAACATTAATAAATGCGGGGAGAAAAATCTGGAGAAAAAAAAACTATCAAGAATTTGCCGGAAGTGTTGTATTCTTGCATATTCAGAAGTTCAGAACTTCGAAACAAGTTTCTCCTTCCAAAATGTGTACAGGCTAAAAGAAACACGTCCCAGGAACTTGAAGCGAAAAAAAAAATGTTTTCTTTTAATGACATGCTGAACTTGAGGAATATAAGAAATCTTCTCCCATGAGTTAATTTATTCCTTAACATGAAAAAACAATAAATACATTATTTTGTATTCTGCAGATGGCAATGATATGTACTGTCTGTGGTGTTAATTCAAATGCGATACCTCAAACAATTTAGACGAAAATAAATACCAAGTTTAGGGCATAATTGCATGTAGATACACGTTTGGACATTTCTTCGAAACTCACCTTGAATAACAATAATCACATCTTAAGACGACACTTATCTAGGCTACACATAGATCATTCGTAAAACGTTTAACATCTCGACCATGAATAGCTTCGGCTACAGCGCACTTCAAATCTGGCACAAAAGATAATCGTCAAAAACCCGTCGTCCTTCCTCGCCCCTTCGGGAATTTATTTCTTTAAAACTAAGCATGCCAGAACATTGAAATAAACGGCATTGTCTTTCGTAAGGAACGCAGCACCGCATGTAAAAGTTCGAGAAAAAAAGTTAGGAATGTACCTCACTACTTGAATTCAAATGAAGTCGTCAACCGCTCTTTCGAGGTTCGACGAAGGTCGAACTTTTACCCTAAAAGTTCGAAGTTCGTCGAACTTCTGACTTTTCAGGATTCGAAAGTTCGAAACTTTTTCAATTCTCTTGATAAATAAGTTCGGAAGTTAAAAAATTATCGAATTCCTTAGCATAGGAAATTCGAAAAGCTTCCAACTTTTTAGTGCAAGAAGTTCGAACGTTCGAAAATGATCAAATATTTTGGTCAGTCAAGTTTGGAAGTTAGACAAGCATCAAATTTTGCAGCGTGATAAGTTCGAAAGTTCGAAAAGGATAGAATATTTTACCGTAATAAGTTCGACGGTTCGAAAAGCGTCGAACTTCTTAGCTTAACAAGTTCGAAATTCGACTTCAGTCAAATCTTACGATATAGAAAATTTGAAAATTCAAAATCTTTCGAAACTTTCAAACCACTTGATTCGATCATCGAAACTTCGGTTCTAAAAAAGTTTGCGGCATCCCTAGTCCCAACTTCTCCCCAACGTAGGAACTCTCACCCACTACACGAGGTGTACACGCTGCAGTCTCCCCCAAAGGAGCCAACAAAATGCTGCACCCGCTCTGAAGCTTTTGTAGTTCGTGCTGTACTTGAAGGATAGCATGCTAAAAGGGCAATGCAAAGATGTCATGATCTCTTTGCGTTGCCTTTACTCCCAAGACTTAGAATATGCAGGTCTTTCACGATGCGACGTTTTTGAGAAAAAAGCTGAATCGGGAGGTGTTTTACACACGGAATACTTAAAGTACTATTTTAAGTAGGATTAGAAAACTTGTACTTTACTTGATATACATTCTCTGTGCCTGTACTGGTTCTTTACTACGGTGCTTTTTCTGGTAATTTCTGAAGAATGTATAATTCCGGACTTTATAAAGTGCATTCCACAAATTCGGAAACAAAAAATGGCGTGTATCGTCATGTTAAAACGCGCTATCGTCTTTCGAGACGTCATCTGGTAATTTCTCTCAGTGACATAATGGCAGCTACGAGACCGATAAAAAAAAGTGCCTTATAAATGTCTCGTGATGGTTTGTCAGCCAGAGTAAAAGAACTACTCCGTGGAGGCTTGATTTTATCCAATATTTGCCGCAATTTCCGGGAAAAAAAAACTGATGCTCCTCCGATTACCCCTGGAGCAATGCATACCAGATAAAATACAATAAGAAAAATGTGGTATTAAAGGGCGTCATAAAAGATTGTGTTAAAAAGTATTTGTACTTTAATTTAAAAGTATGTTCTATTTATAGTACTTTACTTCAAGTACATCGCACTTGGTGTGCTTACGATACTTGAAGTACATAAGCTCTAAGTAATTGACTTTGAACTTTACTCAAGTACTTTTTCTATGTTCTTAACGCAGCACTGTAAACAAGCAAACACTGTCTGCAAAATCAAGCTCACGCAGCGCTAAACCTTAAAGTAGAAATGATACATCCGCAGTACATCATTGACCTAATGGGTCTCCGCTGGAAGCGTGGAGCGAAAGCTTACACTGCAGAATCTCCTGGGTTTGACACCGCTGCCCCCCCCCCCCCCCCCCCAAATGGCATAAACAACATCATGTAAATGCACAAAAAAAACTCGTAGGACTTTCAGTCGGTCGATAACATACGCACAGGATGACACTTTTATACGCACACTGTAGTCGCACACAGACAAATTCGAGTGAGGTAGCAAAATTAACATAAAAAGATTCAAGAGGTTCGTTCACTGCTATTAAAAACCCGTCCCCTCTTCTCAATGACCTGTCACAACGATAAAAGTTAAAGCACTTTTCACACTTCCGAATTTCAGAGTTGTGAACTGTACTAAAAGCCAAGTTTCGGTCAAAACCACAATATCACTAGATGACGAATCGATTAGCGACGCCAAATCATCACGGTTTCCAATGACACTTCAGATATTAGTTAGTAAAACTTGGATTTCTCTAGCAAAATGAATGAGGCCATCACGCTGATTATTTTGTTTTATACCTTGATGATGATGCCGTGCAAATATTTGTAACTTCAACGTCAGGAATTTCGTTACTCGGAGTGTAATCAAGTCGTAGTTCAAAAACGCAATTACCGTTGGGACAGCAGAAATAGCATGGATTGTTTACATATAGCTCAGTATTGCATAGTTTAAAAGGTTCATTACTCGCCTTACCGGACTCAATTAATATTTTTCTGACATAGCGTGTTTCGATGGACAAGTCCTCGGAAATGGAAATGTTAGTACCACGAAGCTCGGGTGTAGAAATGAAGTTTTTCTTAAGGCTTAAAAGACAAAAAATTTACAATAATCGGTCAGCACGTATCGAAGCTAAAAACACGACCAAGCCTATGTGCACGGACAAAACTTTCAGAGAAAATGTGAAGGTGAAGCTTTTTTTTTTTTATTAATATTATTTTGCATACTTTGATATCTGACATCGGCCACATTTCCGGCAATGAAGGGGATTCCATAAAAAATATTAAGTTATCTCAGTGGTTTGGCTTATAGCATTTAATGCCTGCTGAACGGTGTCGACGCTGGATATATTTTGTTTTACGGTAGCGAGTCTGCTGTGGATGTCGGTTACCTTATTTTCAATTGACAGCAGATTGTTTTTGATGGCACCCCCAGTGTCAAGAAGCAGGGATTGCCCTTCCTCGAGTCTAACTGAGCGGTCACCAGGGTCCTGAAGTAATGAAATCATATTGGGCGTTTGTTTTTCTTTCAGATCCTTAGAGGGACCGGGTTTTAGCTTGATGCAGTGATGTGATTGGCCTAAGCCATTTTGGAGCACCTTTTGGAGCAGCCAAAAGAGTGTTTCGAAGCAGCAAAAGTGGCTTTTGGAGCAGATATTCTTAGAAAAACAAAAAGTTTTGTTTTAAGCGCTGCACAAACAAGGGGGCGCTGTGTTGTGCTCTGTGTCAAACGCAAACACATCGAAGGGCTTTACTCTGTTGTGCTTTTCTCCTCGCGCCTTCGCTCGTTCAGCCGTCGGGGAGCGCGTTACAATAGCCAAAGCTACGGCTGCGCAGGCCTGCCAATACGTTCGATTCCCAAGGCCTTTCTAGGCGTGTCGAGCAACGCTCTCGCTGATCAAGGCAGAGGAGAAAAGCACGAATGAGTGCGCAACAGGATCAAAAGCTTGTACACTGCATTGTGAGAGCTGCCCGATTCGACCGCCCACCTTTGCAGCTGCCTGCGGAAAGGCAACACGTGGTCTTGTATATCGGAGAGTTCGCTCAGTGCGATATCGTTATGCACAGGCGTACTTTCGTTGCGGGTATAGGAATTAGTGCCGTTCCCAGTAGGCTGATCATCACAAACTACTGACCGTGATTGGCTGCCAAAGGTGGTGCCTTGCAGCGCGCTTGCGATCAAATGGTCCTGTCGAGTGCTATCGCATGCAGAAGACACCGTTGCTTCTAGAGACGGGCGTTGATCTTCAACAGCAGTGGAACAAATTGGATCTTTGGGTAAACTTAGCTCGATACACTCATTTACGCGCCGGATCATCTTCCGCTGAACCCGCGCTCTGGCCGACATCATTGGGCTACAATGGCTATGTGAATGGTGCAGTGCGAGAAAGAGAACACTTACCACGTTCCGAGTCATCTGCCGCTTCCGACGCCATCCCCCCGATTGAAAAGGAACACTTAGGCGGACTTGAACGGAAACAAAACTGCAAAAGAAACTGGCGAAAAAAAACGAAGAATCGATGCGAACATCGCGAATACAAACTTTACGCGGGAAAAGTATTATCCGGGCTTAGCCAGTGGCTTGACTTTGGCTTTAGAAATACGGCTAACCCCTTTGTAACGGGGGATCCCACTCCCCAGCGTGGTATGGGCAGTATGGGCAACATGGGCAGTATGGGCCGTGGACCCCTGCGCCCCTGCCATGCCCTGCCCGCAGTGCTGTCGGCTATGTGTTGGCGCCGTCGTTGCCCTCCTCGTCGATCTCCCGGAATACCTCCGGCGGTAAAGATGTCGCTGGTCTGCCGCTGGCGTCACAGTGGAATCATAACCAGTGGTCCCACTCAAGGCCACTTCCGGTAATCGTGCATACACAGCGCTCCTCAAGCCGGATGGCGACAACTAAAGTTGTAAAACAAAAACAAACAAAAAAAACAGGGTCAAAAAGAATCGCAATTGACTAAATTGAGTGCGTTAATGTTAATATTTTTAGAAAACATAATAAGCTAGGTAATAATGATAAACCAACATGGAAAGAAAAAATCGAGCCGTGACCGTTAGCTTGAAAAAGTTCATTGCCCTAACCGAAGCCATGTCGCTGGTCGCGTTGTCGGCGTTGTCGGTGTTGCTGTTCTGCGAATTCCTCTTTCCTAGTACATTTCCCTTTCGGTTGGATCCTCGCTTGGCGTTTTAATGTCACATGAGTTACCGAATCGCGCTATGAATGTGTTCTAAATGGGCCTGCTCAGGCAAGAAGCCAAAAAGCCGGGGACTCACTTCGCCGTTCGAGTTTCCGGGATTCCGCTTCAAGTTCGTTGCTGGTGAGTGCAAACATTTTAATGTGCTCGTGCTGTCCTTCGCGTCAGACCATGGCACGATCGTCTTTTCTCCAACGCTGTGTATGTGACTCGATTAATTTCTTAGTCGTATGTACGTCGGACGTGACTTGTAAAACGGTCGAACGTAATGAATTGCTTGTTCACGCGCAACCTCCACGTATCGAAACTTTCACACCACTTTACTGGAAAAATATAAATATCGTAGCAAATGACGCGGATCAAGACCGAACCTTGGATTTGCTAATCTGTAAAATCATAAAAGAGAAGTTGGCATCATAGCATAAGATATAAAAAACAAAACAAAAAAACACGCAACATTATAAAAAGTGAATTTACCACTTGTTATATATTTGCATTTGGCTAAGCAAGTTGACTGGGTACATTGAACATAATTCTGAATTAACTAGTCAGATGGATGTCCTTTGAAGGGAATTAACGGGAAGGCACCTCCAAAAAACGTGTTGCTCAAACATGCCAATTTCCTGGACTCACGCCTGTCTTCTCTCTCTCGTCAGGATACCCTGTGGGTATGGCAGCATCTGGCACCTGTCGTCCAGCATGGGTCGAGACCCCTCCTCCCCCCGTCAAGCTCCAGACATTATTTATCTCCTCTTGGCACGTCATGCAGTAAGACCCACAGTACTTATCTAATTTAGAAGTATAAGCAGGGACAGATCCAAGGGGAAGATCCAAGGGGGGGCGACGGGGGCGGCCGCCCCCCCCCCCATCCCCCCCGCCAAAAAAATTCGACCCCCCCCCTGCCCCCATCTCGGGGGGCAATTTGACATGGCTGGACCCCCGGTGCACACGAAAGAAGGGGAGAATAGCATCCTTACAAACTTTCTGCCCCCACCCCCCCCCCCCCCCCCAAACGGAGTTCTGGATGTGCCCCTGAGTATAAGGTGTGTCTCGCTTCGTTCATTCACTGTATACTGTTACTTTCTTGTTCCAGTACGATGGTTCCTCGGAGAGTCACAAAGAATACCACGAGGGCGACAAACATGTGGAAGCAAGCTGCAAGGGCCGGACACCAGAGACTAGGACCATCAGTAACCAGGGGGATGAAGTGAGGAAACTCAAGAGGCAGCTCATCATCTGGGCCACAAGAAGAAAATCGGAGACTGTACGCTGGGAAATTTGTCGACCCTCATCCTTGGGTGGCTGAGCATTTTCTGGTCATATTCGTACGTGAGGTGAACTGTTACTGGAACTAGGTTGACTCATCCTTCTGCAGCTTACAGGGCATTACCAAAGCTACGGCACCAATGAGACAACCGGAACATTTGGCTGAGGGACGGGACAACATATTGTGGGAGTATACACCTCCTACGGAGAGCTCTCACAAAACTTGCTTCGTTGCTCTGATTAGCTCCAAAAGGCGGCAGTGCTTTTCTTTGTAAAATTAGGCTGAAACAGATTATAGCTGTAATAGGGCCACCAAAATTGACATTGCGGCATAACATTCCTCATGTGGGTTCTGGCATCTATTCTATGATCTCTTATGCAATTATGAATGTCGCAGCCACAAGTGGTCACTTGACAATAATCTGCAACTCTTCATATAACAAACTGTGTAAATGGTTGGGTAAGTGCAGTAAAGGTAGTTCTGCATATCTGGGAAAAAACAGTGGCTGGGAGGGCTCTAGCTTTTACTAAAGTGGCGAAGCGGGCGAGTTGGTTCATGATATAAAATTTAAAAGCGCTAAATGTTCAGTTGAGAGTAAGCGCTCGTCCTGTTCGCCTTCCTTTTTGTCCTCGTCCTTGTTTGTGCTTTCAAATTTTATCTCTAGCTCTTCCTCATCACGATCTGTCTTAGAGATCAGCACGACAACCACAGCTGGTTGTCGTGCCAGTAGACCTCGTTCTGAAGTCACCGGAAGAAAACAATAACCGGTTGCTCCCATCATGTTGTGTTAGCCAGTGGTCAAGAACAAGATTTTTTCTCTTGAGCTTGGACAAAGTGTTCTTCAATTGGTTTTCTCAAAGCCCCTTTGTGCTAAATCACGAAAAGAGCCCTTGAAGAATAAGGTAGTGTGAAAATGTAAATTTTTAATTCCTCATGCCGGAGATTCCCATCTGTTGGAGTTTGGATAGGAACAAGCTGTGGTCTGCGCTGTTAAAAGCCTTTCTGAAGTCTAACTGGACGATCTCGCACGGAGTTCGGTTGTCGAGGCTGTGCTGAGTGCATAAGTGAAAGCTGCAAGGGCCGATTCCCAGCTCCTGCCGGGCGGAAACCATATTGGCGGGGGCTCCATTGTTTGGTTTAGCCATCGCAAGCCTTCAGACGGAGAACGTCGTAGCAGTTGTCTGTGTCGCGAACTCAAGCCGAGTTTAGATAAAGTTATATGTGCCGGAACTAGTCCTGGGTACTCCCTCTCCTCAACGTCGGGCCCCGACGTTGAGGAGAGACAGTACCCAGGACTAGTTCGCAACACGGACAACTGGTACAACGTTCTCCGTCCGAAGGCTTGCGATGGCTAAACCGCCCTTTTTTTGCTGTCCCTCTTCTTTGTCCTCTTTTCTTCCCCTGGCCGCGAGGCGAGGATTCTTTGTAATCTGGCGCGAACGCCACGGTGGGACACACACACCCACACGTGCCCGCACGCACAGCACCGAATGAGTCGGTAATACACTCCGTCACAAGTGGATGTTAGATTTGAGCGGGCAATATGAAGGTGAGCAATATGAAGATGAACAGCCCTCTTCTTGTTTTTGACGCTCCTGCAAGTTTTGGAACAAGCTCTGTTCCAGAAGAGGGTTAGAACGCAAAGTTTAGACCCCAAGCCACGTACTATTTGAGACGTTGAGAGTTAATATAGCTATAGAGAGCCGTAAAACGGGCAAGAATCCAGGTAAGGTGTTCACTTTCATATTGCTGGCGGGTGTGCTTCACCAGTGATCAGCAATAACGAGATTAGGTGAGGTTGGCGAGGGCGATGAGTGAAGAATGCTGAGCCAGGAGGTTGCTTCCATAGATTACAATGTTCAATGGTGATGCTGCAGTCGGAAAGTGGCATTCTAGGTGCTTACGGTTTGTCGATGATAGGCGATATTTTTGTCGAAGGGCCAGTAGCCCCGTTAGGCAGATCAGGAGACGGAGGGTTGTAAAGGCGCGCTGTCATCGAACCTAACAGCTAAACATTGTGCTGAAACATTTGACTGGCTAGATCCAATATATCTCATAGAAGACTGACCAGGGGGGCAATGTTCGACAAATGTCTTGTTTCTCCTAAGAAGAAAGGGAAGTGATGGAAGTGACGATATCGCGTCTGATTAGTTAGAGGCTCAAATGACGAAAGCGGGAACTTTCATCATTTGAGCCTCTAACCAATCAGACGCAATATCTTCACTTCCGTTTCTTTTTAGGAGAAACGAAACATTTGTCGTCGAACATACCCCCAGGTGTGTTGAACATTCACCTTGGGGGGGAAAGGACAGGCAGGTCAAATGCACCTCCAAGCACAGCTTTATTCTTTACCACATTAGCCTGCAGTTACTGTTAAAGCAACTGGTTTGTAATCGCACTCGTTATGTAAAACTCTCGCGTCTGTGCATTTTTTTTTTTTTGCATGGTTTATGAATAGCTGTTTTGAAATACCTTTACCGCGACTTTACTTCTACGTGTTTAGACTATGTTTGTTGATCTTAGGTTTATCATTATTTATGCACATAGCTTGAAGGCTAACGTTCAAACTGTTTGTACTACCGTGTATGTTCGATAATACCCGTCAGCAACCGCATCATTGCATGTGCTGTTTGTAACGTTTTCTTATAAATTGTACTATGCAGAGCGAAAATAAACATTTGTTTGCATGAAATAACTCTTGTGTGAATAAATTACCTGTGATTGTCGTCCAGTGGTGCGCACGCCACAATAAAGCGAAAGCGCAACGCAAGCGGACGCGAGAACCGGGTACACAAAATGCCATGGGGGCCGCCATCTTGAAAAGCAAAACAATAAAAAAGAAGCATAAAATGTGGTTAGTTACCCCATCCGTGGTGAGAGGGCGCTTTTACGAGTTTAAATAATTGTTTAAGGAACTTTCGCTCTTTTTTAATTATTAGGTTATCAATATAATTTATATTCTGTGAGTAATATGTAATGAGTTTAGTTCTACAATGTACTTTTATTCACACAAGGCCCTCGATCACGTGGTTTGCGATTACCACAGGTTTATTCTGCAGTGGGCAAACTGTGTATGATAAACTGTGGCTGGCGTGGCCTAAGAAGAGGGGAGGAGCCTGGGAGAGGGGAGGGAGAGGGGCTATTGCGGAGCGCCAATGGCGAGGTGCGCGGAGGGGCGCGCGCCGGGAAGCAGG